ATTTTTTATTATTCATAAAAACTTCAAAAGATTCCCGTTTCAAAACAGAAGTAATAGCAAAAATATAGGATTTTAATTAAAACAAAATATTTAGAAACTTAAGTTTGGAAATTTATATTTCGAAATTCCGTAAAGACGATAATTCCGAAGTTAGTATGAACATACAAGGTACCAAAAATGTCTATAGGCAATACTGAAATGGGAAAAGTACTGTCAGCAAATCCATCAGATCCAAAAGGCGGATATTACCATAATGCCATTTATCATTTCCCGAGCCTAGCTTGATTTGCATAATGGATATCATAGTTTATCTATTGATTTCTTTCGATTTAACGAATCGCCCAAGCTGTTGATGACATACTATAAAAAATGATATTTCTGAGAAACGATCACGTGCGTTATGAGGGATTTTATATATAAGACATATTACGTTAACATTGTACCACTGCTGGGGTCTTTTAAAAGAGTCCTCAGCAGCAGCTAAAGTGTATACTCGTATATAGTGGCTTCATTTCGGAAAATTTTAATTATAGTGCAGAATATAACTTTAAAGGAACTATTTTGAAAAGATTTCATCACCAAACAAATTTTCTATTTTACTTATTTCTACATTATCACTAACTTATTTCTTTAGCTTGATATCTAAAATAAGATTAGTAAAAAATTCAGCCTGGAATAAATAAGGATACGGTTTACCAGCGATTCTATTCTCAAAAATCTCACTGCTATTAAATCTAACTTCAAAACTCAAAAATATGCCATCGAAAAAGGGCTCCATACTGTTAAATACGGTATCCATATAGAAGTAATAACAGCTACAGATGTTATTTAAAAAAATCATGTCGTATAAATCACTTTGGTGACATGACATGCTTTTAATTATCCGTATCAGATTAACACAGATATTACGAGTTTTTCGCTCTTAAAATGTAACCTATATTTCCATCATCATGATGAAAGGTTTAATTACCTTTTATTACTTCCGGAAAACATTTAAAAAATCCCAGTTTTAAATAAAAATAGCCAATTTCGTAGCGCCAACCATTAAAGTAATTAATAGCCAATTAAAACATCAGCCGGTGATCAAAAATTTATTGGAGATTGTAAAGTTTAATATTTCATCAATCACTTGTCGAATAGACAAATGGTTTTAGGCTTATATTGAAGATTGGACCAGGTTTTGTTATATTATTATTATAAATAGTAGATTGTGATAAAATGTATCATCTAAAGACAGCAATTTCCTTTATGTTAAAATACTGATTGTTTATATTATCAGGGACAAACTCTCGCGAGATCTTGATTTCTCAGATTTCTGAATATGTTTCATGATCATTTTTAAATCTAATAGGCAAGTAGGTGATCAGCCTCCTGTGCCTGACACACGCCGTCGACTTTTTGGGTCTAAGATATGTCGGTTTCCTCACGATGTTATCCTTCACCGTTCGAGCGAATGTTAAAAGCGCACATAGAAAGAAAGTCCATTGGTGCACAGGCGGAGATCGAACCTACGACCTCAGGTATGAGAGTCGCACGCTGAAGCCACTAGGCCAACACCGCTCGCGAGATTTTAAAGCACATTAAATTAAGTTGATATGCTTCCTATGCCTATCGGCTGAAATCAGAGCAGCAGAGAGCATCCATTAGGCATGCATGTAGATTAGGTACGATAATATTTACGAAATTATTCACAGATTGGATTAAACCAATAAATTAATGTTTGTCTCAAAGTTGTTGCTTTTTTAACTAGAACTTCAAAAATGTTACTTATTAAACCTAAGATAGGGAAGGAAATAAACCATTTCCCATAAACACGGAAACAGAACCCATAATGATATAAATCATATTAAATTGACTCCATCAAATCAGAAATAGTCGTAAGGAGGCATAATGAAGATGATTGATGTGAGAGGACTGTCACGGATCGACAGGAGCCTGATGGATGCTGAGAAGTCTTTATAATTGCCTATAAAATGGTCAGGAAAACGTATAAAAGAAATGGGTTTAGGTTAAAAAAATGATAAAAAAAACGTGTATACGAAACCCCTATATAAAGAATTATGTTTCTTAAATGTAATACAAATACTCGTTGTTTGTAGTGTATTTGTGTTACTCGTTAGTCATTAACTAGAAATAGTTTTCATATTTAACATTTACAGACAAAACAATTTATTAACATTCATGACTTTATAAATATTATAGTCACACAAAGTCAAATTTATTCTTTTAAAGTATAATTCTGAAATCTTTGGTTTAAAGATATATTTGTTTTTTAACCCCTTTACGATTTAATATAACGTAAGAACATTTTAACATGTAGCTGTTTAAATAGGTAGTTAAGCATATTTTATCGATTAAGATATTTTAAAAATAATAAATATTTTAATAACTAAAATTCTCTCTATTTCAGAATTCATTAAATGAGTACCCAATCACAATAACAGGATGATTGCACGAAGTTACTTGCATTACAAAGCAAGCATAACATGATGTAAAAATAATGACAACTCTACCAAACAGGAACTCTTCCCGTCTTTACTCTAAACATGATCGAAATATAGAAGGAACCAAGTACAAAGATGTCGAAAATAAAACCAAAGATCCCAGCGAATTTATGATGCTGGTTGACGATTTCAGTGATTACTTCTACGGCAATGCTAGTCACGACGTATTCATTGCTCACAACCAAACACTAGAGGTATTAAACGATGTTTACACCAACTGTACGTTTAACGGGACGTTCAATGTGTCTTGTTTCGGGAGAGTGGAGACGGTTCCACAATACAACTATTGGGGTTTATTGCTGTTGATCTTTCCGTTTTTTACGCTGTTCGGTAATGTGTTAGTGATTATGAGTGTGGTGCGGGAGAGGACATTGCAGACAGTGACGAATTATTTCATAGTGAGCTTGGCGGTTGCTGACCTTCTAGTGGCTGTGGTGGTGATGCCGTTTGGAGTTTACTATCTGGTAAGTCAAAATATTAACTACTTTTAGTTGCGAGTAAATAGTGATAGATATTTACCGTACATATAATTTATATAAAACAGCTTTCAGAAATTTATGAGATTTACAGCTCTCTTCGATCGGTATCTCATGTGTGAGAGTCGGGGTCAGCCAGGAAACATCTGGAGCGGACGATCTGTTTGCTCCGGTTTCTGTCCAGCGCATCTCTTATTACAGTTTTGTTTTTAACTCGATCAGTCCATGTAATTGGTGACCGGTCACGTGAACTTTTGATTAGATTTAGGTATATAAATATCATTAAAATAAATAGGTTAAGGCAGTTAAGGAGAATAAAGCTAATTAAGATCAAAACAAGGCACGTTACGCTTTATACTATATGTTAACTAAAGATACGATCTTTTGACATTCTTAGTGCTTTATATTTATGGCATTATATTCGCGAATCACGATCCATAATAAATCTTAGATCGTTCCAATATTCTATTCAAAAGGTTTGAATATAAACGCATTTAAAGAGAGTCAATCTCGCGTGACTGTAACACCCTGTGTACTGCTTGAAATATAAAATACAGCGTCGACGTGACACAATAGCATTCACTTCGGAGCTCCATCAATCATGATTTGTTACCGCTGCCCTTATAATGGGAAAATGACGAAAGTTTTCAAAACTTTCAAATGCACGACAAATATTGAGTTTAGTGAGTTGATTGATGTATTCCATAGTGAACTTCGGAGGTATTTAGGCATAATAAATACGAGTAATATGGAATTTCAACTACATGTTTCCAAAGACTTACTTGGTTATATTGCGAACAGATAAGCCACAAAACAGCCGTGTTTTGACGTGCCTGTCACCATTATTAAGATGAATTGTAAAAAAATGAATTTTACCTCACACAGAGGTTCTTATTAAATTAGTGGCGGTAGGCAATGGGCAATTTTTTTAAATTTAGTTTTTATTTCTTATTGCCGCTTAGACTAAGAATATCTTTTAAACTTATTAATTTTGTTTTTCTTTTAACGATATCAGAACTGTAATTTAGATCTATCAAATAAGCTACTGTTCAGTGCCAAGATGTAGAGTTAACGGCGCAACTTATTCCATCTGTTTGATAACAATACCTTTAGCTTTCCAAGTATCAGGTCATGCAAAACTTCTCACTTTCGAGAAAATAAGTTAAAAAGTATTTTTAGAAGAGAAATTATATCTTAACTTAGAAAACTCCCCTCAATTTTAAATTTGCAAGTCATTAGCACAATTTAATTGACGAAGGCGCTATAATTTTGATGGATGGTGATTAAGTGCGCGTACAAGTCAAATTAACGCTTTATGTAACTTATAAGTAATGCTTATATAACAGGTATATAGTTAAAGAAATAGTTTTGTAGTATTATCATAACTAAATCAACTAATGAGTAATAAGTTAAAACTTAGACCTAGTGGTTCGTTTTATTAAATATATTATATAATACGTTTACTTTAAAAAGTCTAACTACCTCTTTCCGTGAAAATTATGTACAGTGCGCGAAATCACTTTATATTAATAATAATAAGCTTTTGGTTTTTTCTTCGCAAATTATATCAGCCTAATAATGTTGTAGCCTATTTCTATAGCTATTTTACTAAACATATTAAGATATTCGAGATATGAAGAAATAATAAGTTAACTTACAGACCGTTTTACACCTGACCTATAATAATAAAAATTACTATATATGCGTATTATGGCCGTTCTTACATTGTCTTGCAAAGTAGAAAATGTAAAGTTTAATATTATTGTCTAAGGTTTGGTTAACCGAACCGGTTCGACCCCAAGTATTGTGGAATATAACTAGAAATTTAATCGCACAGCGTAATCTAATATTTAGCTTAAGATATTTTATAACGTACTTTCATCGCGGAGAGGAATAACCCTAACATTCATAATCAAGACTTTTCGCGAACTAAGACTCCCCCATGTTAATAATAATACATTTCGACATATGAACAAAGTCTGACAATGTCAAGATACTAAGTAATTATCACCCAGTGTTAATATTAACTTTAAATATTCAGTAAGTGTCGCTAAAATAAAATACCACATTTTATTTCAGACTCCAAATGTGGTCCAAAAATAGCCAAGCAATTATGCAAACCAACATTTCAAATAGTAATATTTCACGGAGGGTCCACCTACAATAAATTAAATACGGAGACCGCACACCGAATATGCCTATTTACCCGATTTTTGGTGAAAAATTTTTGCAATTCAAAAATATTGACATAACACACGTTCGTGACGACTTTTTGCGATGAAAATTTAAATTCTATCTGAATATTCAAAACGGCCTTTCACTCTTTAGTACTAACGCATCCGTTGTGATTGATCTATTTAGAACAATTCAATAGCCGAAATAAAGTTTTAGTGAGTTAAAATTGTTCATAATTTTTACAAAACGTCTACGTTTTACTTTGTTTGTAGGTGATTGACATTGTTCGATATTTGAATTCCATGCTCGTTATACTAATTAAAAACGATACAGTCCCATGGAGCCTTATCAATCCTATTATTATGATTTATTTAGAGATAGGCCGCCGTCCGTCGTTCGTCCGTCACCACAAGTAAAACAAGTGTTAATAAATGATGAGAAGACAATTAATTATTTATTAGTATTAAAGGCCTACAAGAAGTCAAATCTAGCAATATTTACTTTAAGAAATGGTTTAAATCTTAACACGAAGCAAAATTTGATAAAGCTGATTCGACAAATATATTATTATTATATTTTTTACGGTAGCGGGAAATTGATGAGTCTATTAAAAGTTTATGACGTTTCCTTATATCGCCCTCTGTGGCGATAAAAGCCTCCATGCGTGCCAGTACAAAAAAAACTGTATTCAGTCAACAATTTTTATTGCTAATGCCCTATTTCGCTATGATGCGGATTTTTATGTTTTTAGGAAATTAAAACCTATTCTCTATTTGGTTAAATATAATAATAATTAAATAATGTGAATTTAAATGTTTTGACATCATATTTGTCTTTGACAATTCATATCACTAATTATTATATAAATACATTACATAACATCACAATTTTCATTTAAATTATCTAAACTAAAATACCCTATCATGTTTCTTAGATATAAAGCTAATTACTTGTGTTTATTTTGATAGGCGTCAAGACTTTTTTCTTCAATATTAATTATTATCCATCACAATTTCACAAAGTGATACAGAAATCTGAGGCCATGGTCTTAAAAGGTTCTGGGCTTTGACTCTTTTTATGTCACTGAAGATATCGTTTTAGATAAAATAATGTTCATAAGCTCGCAAAAAAAGCTCATGGTAGGCCCCCAGTTTCACTCACCAACATTAGATTATAACTTTTTTAGTGATTTGTATATTTGAATAATACTTCACATATTATGCCATAGGTATTTTAAAAAAAAACTTTGATAAATTTATAATTAATAAACCAAACGTAATATAAAAATGTTTAAAAATATATTTAACATTTAATAACATGCACGAAATAAATATAAAACGAACAATGATCTTCTTCACTGCACAGCATTAACATAATACTTTTAAAAGGCTAAAAATATCTTTTAAGACGAATTTCTATAGAGTGAAAGCACGCTCTACTGAATCTAGGTCTGCTTATTGATATACTGAATAGGTAAAAGATAATATGGAGAAAATAATTAATTAATAACGCTAAATTTGGCCTCCATTACTTTGATATAATGTCACCAGTAAAAGTATCTAATGATATATACATAGGTGCCAAAAACATGCGTGAACTAAAAAGATATCATCATCATCATCAGCCTCTGTATTTGGTCCATTTCATTCTCTCTGTATTAACCTCCTTCATGACCTAGCCCGTGGGCGGTCGCGCGGTCTTTGGTTCTGTCGATGTATCTATTCAAGGGATTCAAGGTTACAAGGCTTACAAGGCTACAAACCAAGAACAAAAAAGACTTATTTGTGATTATTACAAATTAACGCAGCGGGAAACCTGTGACCATTTTTGATATAAATAGCAAAGATTTTGCGACAGTTCTACAATTCGTAACTGTATTAAAATGTGGTTTGTTTAATAACGTGAAAACTCTTTTACTTTGGATAAATTTCAAGATGACTAAATCTGAAAGATGTTCACAAAAATTTTATGAAAATAGACTTCATTGAATTGGAAACAGTTCCAAAATGATGTAATATTGCTAAATGAAATATTGATTTAATATTTCTTTTGGGCACTTTTAATATGAGCGTGTTATGTTATCATTTCAGTGGTTTTCAAATTGTTAACCTTAAACAACTAATATTATGTTATCTGTAATCCACTGATGATAAAAAAAATATTCTAGATTTGACAAGATGACGAGATACCCTAAAATATAAATATACATAATTTTATTCATATGATGATTATGGTTCCCCTTCGTTTCAGCCTGTTTACGTCCACTGTTGGATATAGGCTTCTCCCTTAATCTTCCAGTACAACCGATTCCCCGCGTTTTGCATCCAACCTTTTCCCTACATCCTCACTAGGGTCATCTGTCCACCTAGTGGGAGGCCAACGCTTTGCCGACGTCCTCGACCACCATATCACGACTTTTTTTGCCCCATCGGCCATCCGTTCTTCGGGAAATTATTTGCATGTTGTATCCGCAGTAATGTGTGTGCCTTTTAAATAATTTTTCATAATTATATGGTATTTTCTGTTAGATGTGATGATCTGACGGAGAGTTTCTTGCCAATTCTACTAGTCCGTTCGGCGCCCTTGATTTGAGAACTGGCAGTAAGTTTAAATTAGGATTGTTTTTGATTTATTTTCTTATTGACCTTGATATAAAATTATGTCATGAATAAAGTTTTTATTATTTATTATTATTATAAAATTTTTTAGCAGTAAGTTTAAAAATAAATCAAAAACCATTAATGCAAAAGTGTCCTATTACTGTTGTATATTTGTTTTTAAAGAACATGGCTGTTCACAGAAGTGTCATAAAGCCAGGGAAAAAAACATAATGAGCTCAA